TTTTTTTTTTTTTTTTTTTGCTCAGCTAACACACTAAGGAAGCCTGGATGTAAGGAAGAGTGAAGTCTTCATCACTAAGGCACCATTGCTTACAAGAGCTCCAGGAGAGGTGCACCGAACCCAAAATGATGTTACTATAAGGCTTCATAGAAACAAATGGGTTTCTGGGACCAATGCTGCTACTTTGTACTTAGTCAACATAAAACATCCCCCAAATCACTGATTAAAGGGTGTCCTCACTCACCTGATCACATCCTTCTAGACCCTAGGTGCTGTCTGAATGGGAATGATCAATTCTTCACCTTTGAGGAAAACAAATCCACTCTGAGATTCACAAGGAAAAAGCCTGGGACATTCACGGCTCAGGGTCTGAAAGCTCCGGCAGTGAGAAATGGAGCTGACTCCTGGACTACAGCAGCCAAGGGCTCTTTTCTCATCAGGCCCTGAGCAGTGGCTCCACTTTCACAGAAGAGCTTGGGTTCCTGCGTGTCCTGCTCAGGATGCTCTGGCAAAGAGGCACGGTCTCAAATGCACCAGCTCTCACTCATGATGGGTCAGGAGCTGATCCCGTGGACGGTGATCAGAATGAGCTCAGCTTGCCAAAGGAAACTGCTCTGCCAGCATCTCACCGCTGCCAATCCTTCCCACAGCGACTTTTTGAAAGGTATGGCGCTTTCCCTTTAAAGGTGTTTTTTTATTGACATGCACCACCTTCTTCCCATAAAGGCAATCAGGAAGGAATGTTCCTCCAATTTATAGTCAAGATGATTCGTCTATGGCAGGGGTCGGCAAACTCATTAGTCAACAAAGCCAAAATATCAACAGTACAATGATTAAAATTTCTTTTGAGAACCAAAATATTTTAACCTTAAACTCTATAAGTAGGTACGTTGTTATTAACTTAATTAAACGGGCCTTTGCTAAAAACTCAAGGGGCCAAAGAGCCGCATGTGGTTCGCCAGCCGCAGTTTGCCGACCTCTGGTCTGCGGGCATGCTGCAGTGTTTTTCTTTCTTTCTTTAAACCCCAGCCCCTCTATAAACTCTAATGGGGTTGTTCATGTAGAGTTTTGAGTGTGCTTTCTTGTCTCTAGACCACATACCACAGAGTATACGTTGGCAGGTAGGTCACACAGAACTCTTCTGAAGAAGCCCACCTATTGGCCAACATCCACCGCAGCTATGAGCCCTCCGCCTGCAGCTGTCACTTGCTGAAGTGGCAGATGCATTCCCCAGACGGTAGTGGTAGCCCTGTCCCCACCCTGTCTTTGAAAGCAGCATTCCTAAGGCATTAATATGTCCTGTATCCTTCTGGCAGCAGCTGACACTCTGGCCACACACACCCAAGGCTGGCTTGACCTACAACGTAGGGCAGTGTGCTGCAGAGGCCCTCCTCCCATCTCGCCGTCGCCTTGAGCAGCTGCTTGAATTGCATCAGCTGGTGGGGTCTGGGCAGCGGGAGAGGCTCGGCAGCTTAACTACTCAGTGTGGGGACCATGGCTTTCTGCCAGCCAGAGCCCCATCTACCTCCCCCAAACCCACCCCTCCCAGCGTTCATGGGGAATTGGACCATTTACTGCCATCATGAGGCCTGAGTATTTTGTCTTGGCCTGAATATTTTTCTGAGCTGGCCACCATGAACCTGGAAGACATTTCCCAAATTAGAGCCTAGGGTACGAAGTTCTCATTCTTCCCTGTCTTCAGTTTCTCTTACTAGAGAATGACTAAGACATCACCACAGACTTGTGTAACTAAAATGAAAAGCATGGCTGAAACTTAAGAGCTGACCTGGAACTACAGGATTTGATCTCCTTCCTTATTCCAGCTCAGAATAGGCAAGTGGAAGAAAAGCCAGGTGGGCAGTGGCAGGAGCAAAAGAAAATATGTTTTCACTTTCATTTTTAGTGCTAGCAGGAAGTGTCCAGATCAGAAACATCTGGGTTCTCACCAGATCTCACTCATCTGGGGTAGTGAACCAGAGTAACAAACATCACCCTTTGATTACCAGTTCTACTGCCTTGGAGTCCAGCTCCCATGCTGCTTACTCTACTGTCTTAATTGTTTTAATGGTAATTATGTCAGTTCCTTCTTTGTCAGGAAGGTGGCATTTCTGGAGACTGTGCACAGCAGGACCCAGTCTCTTGCTGCCTTCCACCTTCAGCCCAGGTTTTCTTGTTTATGAAATAGCTCCTGGCACCCACGCCTGTCCTAACAAGGCAAAAGGCAGGCCCCCTAGAGAAGCATTTGAGCTCCAGGAGAGGGAGATGGCTCTTATGCCAACTTGGGTTTACTTTTGCCATTTCTGTACAATTTCATCTCTTCTCAGATGGTACTGGAAGGGGAGATTTAGGGGAAAGGAGACTGGGACTGTGTCAGCGAATCTGCTTCAGTTTAAGGACTTACAAAACCAGACTGAAATGATAAATGGAATGGAGAGGGTGCTCTCTCCATTTCAACAGAAATCATCTCTAAACTCCCTGATAAAAATTCAAAAGCGTCCCTCTGCTTCAGAGGTATCTGCTCAACCCAAGGGCCTGGCCTCGAATGGGAAACCTCTTCTCTCCTCAGATAAATGATAAATGCTCCTAGTTGGGAATTAAAGGCACACAAACCATTTCTTCCAAAGTCTGATGATGGGAGATTTTATCTATGGCTAATAGCAATTCCATTTCGGAATTTTTAATTCCTCTGGTCTACTGAAATTAGCACCAATGATGATGAGGTTATATTATGAGTTTGGAAGGGACACTGACTATTTCAAAGCATTCAAAGATATATATCATATAGTTGTAGAATAATAAGAAGTAGGTAGAAAAAATCTGCCAAAATTACAGTTATCATATAAATAAATCTGTATTAGCTTCTGATGGAAACAGCTTAAATATAACACCTAAATTCTATTTAATTCTGGTCTAATAAAGCTTAAGTGAAATCCAACATAATTTCTCCTCCTTAAAATGCTTCCCCAAAACATCCCAATAAAAAAAAAGCCTATTATGAATAAACTCACAAATAAATGCCACAATTATTTATTCAATTTTCCCCTCTTAAAGGCTATCCATCCTCTAAAACAAACGTTATTTACCACAATAGCTGAATGTTGCATATTAAGTAAAAAAAAAAAAATTTTTTACCTAGAAAATACAGTTTGTCAGAGAAAATGTGACTCGATCACCTTTGTTGTGGATGAATACAGAAGGCTAACTGTGATCTCTAACAGGAACTCTATTCCAAGAAAAACACACAATTAGCAGTAATTGTTTTTCTGGCTAAGGCAATAGTCTGGGATCAGTATTTCAAACAGCCACTTCTTTTTCCTGTCTTTTTTTAATGATGTAGAGCAATTGCTCGTCTAATGAAGGGACTCGGTAAATAAACTTACACATGACTCTAAACTGATTACTCTGAAATAGTCACTTTTTATTCCAGTAATTGCTCTTCAGAAATGAGACAAACCTCTTGCTCACATGAGACCCCAAAATCTAAATGTTTATGTTAAAATAAGCATAAGGCGAGCAGAGTACAGGTGCGGTCTAAAACTGCAGTTATTGTTGATCAACCATTCATTTTCATCTCCCCCCCCCCCAAAAAAAAAAAAAAAACCAGACAAATAAATAAGCTGCCAAAATTGACTTTCCTTTTTTACCATCTCTCACTCATTATCAGGTGAAGAACTCAGGGTCAATGTATAATACCAGAAATGCAAGGGAGTTTCTGCAATCAGTATGTTCCTTCTAATGCTCATGTGAAACTCATAAGGGGATCAGCCACAAACACAGAAAAGACCACATATTTTCTCAATTCTGAAATTCCGGCAAACGTTCCATTCTCCTTGAGGCTTAAGGTGGAAAACAAAGTACTTATATTAGCATTAATCAACTTGGATGGTCTTTTTAAAGATACTTACAGTTAAGCCACTGTGAAAACCATGCTTTCCTCCGCACTCCCTTTGTTGTTGGAGGGTTAGTTACAGGAATAAGCCTGCAACTATCCTACCTTGTGATTAGGACGTCACCTTAACACAGACTTTATATTTTGGCTTCGATGAAGGTTTAAAGGTTAAAGGCATCATAAATTATGCATTTCCTCCAATGCCAGGCCCATAAAAAGTGCTTTCACTGTTCATTAAAGATATTGCTTCCAAATGGGCAGAGGCTTTTTTTTTTAAGTGCAGAAACAGAAAAATTTCCATTATGTTTATTGATGTCATGATGGAGAGCCAAAAACAATTCGGAATTAGGAAACGGCGAGAATGTAACAACTGTCAACATACAGAGAAATTTCTGTTCGCTCTTTGTACAGTAAAACAGTTAAACACAGCTGACCAACACGCCAGTCCCCTCCAGGGAGAGCAAGTCTGGCAAAATGCACGTGGCCAGCAACAGTTGGGGCTGTCCCCTTCTCTCTCTGTCCCAAATCACAGATTTGAACAGGGACCTAAGAGACACAGGATTCACATTACAATATCCCCAGCTCCTGCACTGGAGCAAGCTCTGCGTGAAGACTGTTTGCATCAACTGCATATTAGCACATGTCCTTCCTTACTTACACTTTAACACCACCTCCAGGTAAAGCCAGTTAGTTCTAAGAGATCCTCACTTTTCCATTCCACGGACACCTATGGCATCTGCAGAGGCTGGGCTCTTTTTTCCCAAGGGGCACCACACCCATTCCATCCTCCAGCCTTCAGGAGCAAAATGCAGACGTGGCTGGGTCTGCGTCTCTCCAACCTCAGGCTGAAGGAACCACACCGGACACACAACTTGAGCTAGGTCATGACCACCCCCCAGGTCGGCGTCCTGACTGGCATAGGGAAGGATTCTGGAGGCAGTACTGCTTGCCGAAAGCACCAGGGTTCCAGAGATCCTTGCCAGGATACAGCCCGCATCCCCTGACAACTAAGTGGCAAAGTTGTTTCTGCCTCTCCTACTGCAATGCCCTTTCCTCTCCATCAGAACACGCACACACAAGCGCGCACACACGCCTTGCTTCCTCAACTTACCAGTTTAGACTTGGCGCGTTGCAAAAATTCTTCCATGTCGTGGTGAGGTTTGGACCAGGGGTGCCCGGAGGGGTGCGGAGGGAGACCTCGGCCGGAGGAGAGGCGCGGGTCTCCGCAGGGTGGCCTCCGGTGGCGCAGCGACCTTCTGCTCCCTCCGGCCGCTCGGAGGCGGCTGTGGCTGCGCCCGGGGCGGTGGCGTCTGTAGGTTCCCAGTCCCACCCCCGAGCTGCGCCGCCCCCTCGGGACACCAGACCTTTTCCTAGTAAGGAAGTGGGTGTGCCGCCGGAAGCCCTGGGGCGCGCCCCGCTAGCTGGACCGCACGCTCCTGCGGGGCGGGAGCTCAGACCGGGCCCCGGGGGCGGTTTGCTAGGGGATGGCGAGGGCGCCTGGGCCAATCGCAGGGCCCCGCCGCGGCCTCCTGACGTGGCGCGCCTGAGGATGCTGCAACCATGGACAGCGCCCAGAGTGCCAGCCAAGTGCGAGGGGCCGCTGCAGCGGGCGGCTCTGCCGCAGGCACTGCCCCTGACAGCCAGGGGGAAGGTGGGAAAAGGGGGAGAGGGGAAAGAGGGCCTCTGAAGAGCCCACCCTCCTCGGCCAGCGCCTCCCTGGCTGGCTGGCTGGCAGGTTACAGAGAGCTTCAGCGGTCACTCAATGAGCTGGCTCTGGCTGGCCTGGCCAGGGGATGGGTATAGAAGGAGGGAGGAGCGGGGGGGGGTGGGGGGGGGGGAATGGGAGGGGGGACGGCTGTTGAGCTAAAAGCAGTACGACCTTGATGGAAAATAATCAGAAGAGCAGCCTGGAAGATTTGTACTAGGATGCATCTACTCTCCTTAGCGTCAAAACATGCCCACCCAGTAATGGGCATCTGCAGTTCACCCCAACTGGGGCTCCTATGTTGGCCCTGGGGCTGATGCTGAGATACAACCCTCCTGCAAACTGCATCCTCTCTCTGGCATGCACACTCAGGGGAAGCTGGGGCAACAGAACTTTGCTACTGCATGGGGATCTGTGTTTCCACAAGATCCTCAGATAATTTCTATGTGGGTTAAAGTTTGAGAAGTACTGCAGTGTGCACAAACAAGTAGCTAGGGACCTTATTGTAAGCCATGGAGTTTTGTCCTGTGTACTCTTCTAAGCTGACCAGAACCTCAGATACAGCACCTCAGGCTTTCTCTTACATCTGGGCCTTTGTACATCTGCCTGCAATACACTTTTTTTGCCATCCATCTCCCCGGTCCACAGTGCCTAGCTTACACATGCTTCAGTTGTCAGCTTAGTGCACCTTAAAATTGTAGTATAAGAACCCAGGACTTAAAAAATACTGATTCCCAGGCTTTACTCCAGTATCTCTGAGGGTGGGGCTACAGCATCAGTCAGGTATAAAAGTGCTCTAAGTGATTCCAATGTGCAGCCCAGGTATGAGCCTCAAATGTCAGCTTATATTTGAACCATTTAGCTAATAGAACCCAGATTTCTGTGCCTTATTCCCAGAATTTCAGGATTAATAGGCTTGGCTTAATAGACCTGAGAATTTTCATTTTTCACAGTCTTCCAGTGTTTGCTGTTGTTTCTAATCCAGGTACCACACATTGAGGGCAACTGGCTTAAAAGTTGTCTTCTTCCAGGAAGCCTCTCCTGATATACTCCTCCTTGTCCACCCGCAGAATGAGTCAGTTGCCCCTCCCATGTTCCATCATACAACCTATATTTTCTACTCCACTATGAATTGTCTGATATTTGCCTGTGTTCTCCCCCAGGCTGTTAGATCCATGAGAACAAAGGCCTTGCCTGTCTCACTCATGGATGTATCCCTAATACAGTTCATACACAGATCCTCAATAAATATACTTTAATGAACAAATTTATATATGAAAGACTTTTTTGCGTGCGCTCTCTCTCTCTCCCTCTCTCTCTCTCTCTCTCTCTCTCTCTCTCTCTCTCTCTCTCTCTCTCTCTCTCCCCGTGTGTGTGTGTGTGTGTGTGTGTGTGTGTGTGTGCGTGAGAGAGAGAGAGAGAGAGAGAGAGAGAGAGAGAGAGAGAGATTATCCAATTATTTTTTTATTCCTGAGGATCCAATGAAAATAAATCAGCAGAGTCCGGAGACCTGATTAAAGGAGAGTAATGGGAGCATTAAGCTCTAGTTTGCATTCAGGTGATGAGTTGTGTGGAAGCTACGGATCCTATCTGCTCTCGTTGCTGACTTAAGTAGTTTAAAACTGTCCAGGTATAACAATTGTTTCATCAGCCTTTAAATCTGTGAAGGTGATTGCAATTCAAGTAACATTACTGATAAAAATCCCCAAGAATTATTTCCCTCTGACTCCATTAGGGAATTTAGTGGCAATCACACAATACTGTTTTATTCTGACTTTTGATTTTAAACATTTTGATAAATGTTATACAGCGCTGAAATTTCTTACTTTTTAAAAATTTGTTTAATTAATTTATTTATTTATTTTTCTGATGGACTCAAATTCCAATGCCTATTACCCAGAGTTTTTCTCCACCAACAATGTCCCTGCAAAAGTTTCTTGAGATTTACCTCCTCCTGAACTGACCATTTATACTAGTTTCCTGAGGCTGCTGTAACAAGTTACCACAAACTCAATGGCTTAAAGCCAGGCGAATTTATTATCTTCCAGTTCTGTAGGTCAGAAGTCTGCCACCAGGAGAAATCAAGTTGTCAACAGGGCTACAGTCCTTTCTGAAGACTGTAGGGGAGAATCCTTTTATTTATTTAGTTAGTTAGTTAGTTAGTTAGCCTTTTCCAGCTCCTAAAAGTATCTCACATACTTTGATTCATGATGCTTTCTTCCATCTTCAAAACCAACGTTTCATCGCTTTGATTATTCTCCCATAGCCACATCTCCCTCTGAGTCTCTTCTATCTCCATCTTCCACTTTCTAAGGCCCCTGTGATTACATGGTCCTACAGGGTCATGTACCCAGGGTCATCTCCCCCAGTTTAAAGTCAGCTGACTAGCAACCCATATTACCCTTTGCTTTGTAACCTAACATATTCCCCAGGTTCCAAGGATTATGGTGTGGACTCTTTGGGAAGCTATATTCAACCTACCGTACAACCCACACCCCAAGTTATTTAGTGTCTGTCAGCTTGTGAACCTCAATTTCCTATCATTCCATAACAACAACTAATCTAGCGCCTTTAACTCTAGATTAGAAATCATCAACCTGGTTTGCAGAATGGAATCACTTTTTAAAATATTGATGTTATAGATGAAAAAGGGTCCAAATACTAAACTTGACAATCTCAGGGGAGGCTTGCATGGTGGGTTTTACAAACCCAGAAATTGAAAGTAACTACATAGGATGGTCTGAATAAAAAAATTCCTAAAAATGAAGTCATTGCGGGTCATCATGTCTTAGGCTTGTAGCTTCTTTGAAAAAGGCCAATCGTTGCCTGTCCATTGTATTTTTGCATCTAAAAGAACAAACATACCTTTGAAATGATAGTGATCTCCTTTTCTGGATCCCTCAGGGCACACCCACCCACCAGAGCCTGGAGACTGCATAACCCCTCATTGTTATATTATTCCCCACATTCGTCCAGAAGGATGTCCAGAAGGTCATTTGGCTATCTGGTCTAATCAGCATATTGCAATTTTATTATTATAGATTGACTATGTTCAGTAGGCATTCTGCCTAACCTGAGATGTATAAGGCAAGATCCCTGCCCTTAAGTTGGTCGTGGTCTAGTCACGAGAATACAAAGAGACAAATGTGGTCATTGAAAACAATATCTGATATTGGACTAGTTGAGATGCAATATGGTGTTATGACTATACCCTGGATTCTCATCCTTGCTGGGGTAGATTAAACATGACTACAAATTCTTTGGCATTCCTCCCAATGAGAGGTCAGGTCTATGTTCACCTTCCTTGAATCCAGAAGAGCTCTGTTACTTCCTAAACAATAAAAGTCAGCAGAACTGACCATAACAGTTTTAGGAGGTTGGCAGCCTTCACTTCTTGTCTTTTGGAATACACACCCTTGGAACCTATTCATCATGCTACGTGAAAACCTAAGCAGCCACATGCAAAGGCCCATGTGGAAAACAACTAATAACTCAGTCCAACAGTCCAGTTGCTGACTATATGAGTGAGTCATCATGAAAATAGATTCTCTAGCCCCAGGCAAACCACCATAGCTGATGTCATATGGAAAAGTTAGGCTGTTTCTGGTGTACCCTGTCTAAATTCCTGTCCCATGCAATAGTGAGGTATAATAAAATGATTGTTATTATAAGCCAATAGATATCTGGGTAATTTGTTATGCAGCAATATGCAACAAAAGGGAGAATAATAAGGAAAGTTTTTTGTTTGGTTAAAACAAATACCTGACATATAAAAATGGAATGTGGGGAAAAAATTTAAAACGTGATGTGGCTTGAATGGCAGCTGCTGCCTCACCAGTCAGGAACATTTCCATTGAGCTTCCTTACTTGTCAACATCACTGCCAATGGGGGTTGTATCCTTGATGTTATGTTTACTGCTTTTAAATTATCTCATGTGACAAAAGATGTCCAGACTGTGCCTCCTACTTCGACTAGACTTAAGAGCATTTCAAGTTTGCTTTAAGGGTGAGAGACTGAAGAAGGACTGATGTACATTAACTGGTTAGCTAATATATTTAACTAGTGCCTCTCATTTAGAGTTTAAGCAACTATCAAATGTCTGCTTTTCACCCTGTGTATGACCAAATACTGTCAATTATGAAAATAATATCAAAAGGGACTCATTCTTTAGCCATGTGTTTTGGCAGGGATATCCAATTGTTTACAGTAGGCTTTGCAAGACTTTTAAAAAGAAGCCCATAACGCTACAATCCTCTGAGTTTCTGTTAAGAAAGAAGAAGAGGATTTTCTGGAACTGAAAGGGCTGTATTTCTGAGTGGCAGGATCAGGATCTCTTGGGAGAATGTCCTGAGAGTCAAATGTCCAGGCTCTGACTATGGTGCACACCACTTGCATCATTTCTGGGAACTGCAGACTTCTTGTAGAACAATGAATTAAATTTGAAGGAACAGCAGCAGAGAGCAAAAGTGTTCTGGCTCTATGAGTCATCAGGATAATGAGGCAGTGGCCATGCTTTCAGCTCTGCGGCCGGCTGAAAGATGGGGATGATGGTATTAATGTCTCCACTTCCTCTCAGGGCAGGTGGCTCAAGCTTTACACACTCTCTTCCTGCAGAAAAGTATCTCAAG